CCAGTGCGATTTTAGGGGGGTCAGTCCTGCACCCCCTTTCATCCCCCAAAGAAGGCGCCAGAGCCTGAAAGCACGTGGGAGGAGCAGCCGTGGAAAGAGGGGCGCGTGGGAGACCCCCCTTTTGCGGATCTGCGCGCAGAAGAAGTCGAGCGAGGCTCCCTTATGACGGCGTCTGTGGGCACTCAGTTGAACAGCCTGAGAATGGACCTCCGCCCCAGCAGAAGGGGCCAGTCAGGCCCCACGGAGCCCCGGCCTTGGGGAGGAGGGCCCAGTCGGGGAGGGCGTGGCCACCAGTTGCCTCCAAGCGGAGGGATGGAAAGGCGTCTCCCGGGCTATGCGGGGCGGCGGGGCAAGGCGAGGGCGGCGCGGGAGTTCTCCTCGGAGCGGCTGGTGCATCGGTTGGCCGAGGCGAAGGTGCTGCTGGAGGCACTTGCCTCCGAAGCAGTCCAGGCCAGCAGGCAGTCTCGGAGGCGGAGTAGGAGCACCGGCACGGGCTGCTGCGCTGGAGATGGCGCTGCTCCGTGGCATCCGGGCGCTGGGCGAGGGCCCAGGATGGCACCTTAAAAACAAATCCGTTGAGCTCTCCCGGCACTTTTGTGAACATGTTGGGGGGTCGGATTAATCCCTCATTAGACCGTGCAGTCTATCACCTAGAATCTTAGAGGAGATCCCACTAACGTGTCCTTCTGCAACTGTCAGGAAGGATGAGAACCACCGATAGGCCTATCTGTGAATTCATTCAGAAAGATTCTTTGGTTGCATTCACAGAAGGACCCTGAAAGTCTTACATACTCAGTGTAGTTGATCCATCAGCTGTTTCCAACCAACTCTGGACGGTATACAGGTACTCCTCGCCTAACACCACAGTTGGGACTGGAATCTCGATGGCTGTGCAAAGCAACCATTAAGCAAGATGCCCACGTGACTGCTTTGCTCAATGACCGCAATCTGGGCACTCCTGGTTGTGGTTGTTAAGAGATCTCCTGTGTGGTTAAACAGATAGAGTGAAAGCTGTCTGCCCGGCAGGCAGCCCTTTAGCTCTCAAATGTTCCTAAAGCTGGCTGGAGAGAGGGAAAATTCCCTCCGTGGACAGAGGGAAAATCCTTCCTAGTGCTGGAGGAATGGAGCTCAAAACTTAAGGATTTGAGCTCCGTTCCTGCCCTCCGCTGAGAGGTTTCCCTCAATCCCATCTGCTTGCAACCTTCTCTGCATTGACTTTCTAGGTTCCGCTGAGAGGTTTCCCTCAATCCTATCCGCTTGCAACCTTCTCTGCATTGACTTTCTAGGGAAACCGGCAGAGAATATTGCAAATGGCGATCACATGATTGCAGGGCACTTGACAACAGGTCATAAAGGCGAGCCAGTTGCTAATTGTCTGAAATGCGGTCAGGTTACTGTGGGGGTGTGTATGGCACCATGACAATTTACAA